CTTCCCAGCTCAGAGAAGCTTGGCTGGAATTGACATTAGCTTTGACTAGTTTAGGTCAGTTAGTTGCTTGAATAGCCCTTTGTTCCCCTTTTGATAAACAGCCCAGGCGTTCACTTTTGTTTAGTTAAAACTTTCACTTTGATTAAGTAATTTAATCAGAGGGTAAAAGTTCGGAGGGAGCAAGAATCTTTGTACATTTGTAGTTTAGGTAATTAGTGGTTGGTGAAGTGTTGCTCTACATTTTGGGTTTATTCTTCAGTTCTTTATATTTGTATTTTCCTCTTGGAGTCCCCTTTTAGTTTTATTAGTTATACTCGACCTGATGAACCACAAGTTTGTTTTGTTTAATTAGGAAGAGCTAATTAGCTTTGTTTCAGTTTGTTTAATATTTAGAGAATGATAATTTTATTTTGTTTAATAAAAACTTCTAAATTTAATAACAGCTAACACACACTTCTTTGTGAGGCCATCCTTCATTTTAACACCACCAATCAGGGCTGACCCCTTCTGTCCACCGGAGCCGTCAGCAGCACGTCTTGCTCGCGTAAGCTGCTGCTCGGCCCTTTCCTGCGAAGCAGCAGGGGAGCAGCTGTCACCGATAGAGCATGAAGTCACACGAGTGACTTCGTCAGTAAACACAATAACAAGCAGGAGAAAACTACCACATGGCTCCAAAAGGTTTGTGTTTTATGTTCTGTCCGTTTTATAATCGCCAAAACGGACCTGAAAAACAAAGGAGACCGCTAGCTAGGTGATAACTTCTCACGGGGACGCACAGTTAGTAACTTTTTTTAAAGTAAAGCAACCGGAAGGCAGTATGTTTCTTTATTCTGAAAATGTCGGGAGTTTCGCTCCGTTTCCGCGTCCGATTTCCTGTCTTTCCTCACCCCAAAATGTCGAACTTGACCCGTTTTCGAGGCGTCGCGCGTAGAAAATGGAACCGGCGCGTAAAGGCTGCGACATGCTGCTCCTGAGACGCGGCCGACTCGCGCCGCTGACGGCTCCGGTGGAAAAGGTTCTGTTGACCACAGCGGCTTCTATCAGCAGCCATGACGTGCTGCTCTGGTGGAAAGGAGTAAAGGCTGAAATTGTCATGACTCCCAGTCTTTCACCCTCCTCTGCCTCTGCTGCCTCCTCAGAAAGCCCTCAGCCACTTCATTCATCTCACCTGTTCCTGTCATCAGCTCATTACACACACCTGCTCCCCCTGCTATATATTCACCAGCCAGCCACCAGTCCCCTGCCAGATTATTGAACACTCTTTGCCAGTAGATCTTCCAGCCTTTCACCTTGCCTGATCACAGCCTCCGGACCTCGTTTTCACGCCTGACCCCTGCCTAGGACTCTGCCTGCCATCGACCCTCGCCTGTCTTTGACCTGTTCCCTAGCCTGCTCCATTTACCTGCTTCGCCTCGTTCTGGTTTTTGACCCACGCCTTCTCTCCGACTCTGTCTCCTGCCTCGCCCTCCTCGGGTAACGCCACATCTAATAAAGTCTTTTTATTGAACTTCTACTGTGTTTGGTGTCATCACGGGTCTTCCAAGTTCTGGTCGTGACAGAAATGTTTCAAACACTGAAATTCGACTTCTTGGCCTCAGATCAGAAATGAAGGAAGTCCCGGTGAAGGATTTGACATTATTAGAAAATGCTGAGGGTGATAAAGGCCAAATTACAAGGTACAGCCGCAGCGCTCTGCTCGGGTGTCATGCGGGTCGGAGCAAGAGTCATGGAGATGGAGGACCTGCCCAAACTACAGAAATACTGGTGGTCTATTTTTGAGGCACTCTCCTGGATTTGCGCTGAGACCCGTTGACCCGTTTGTGTTACAACCCAGTCTAGGAGTTGTGGGTTGCAACAAGAAGGGAGATCAAACAGAGGAGTGGGGATGTAAACAAATGGATTTACTTGGCAGAAACTAAGAACACCACTGAAGCTATCTTAAAGGTAGAACAAAATGGCCAGGGAGGACTCTCCACCACACAGGACAGACCTCGGCAAACAGGAACCAGCAGGCTTTATTGGCAGCCCCACACCATGAGCCCGGGTGCCTCCAAGGCTGCCTAACGAGCTGCCTGCAACTGGAAAGAACACAATTAAACACAAACAAAGACCCAATGAGACAGTGGTGTCGTCACATTTGTTTGGAGTATTTATGGTGGAGGCTTCTTTGAGAACGTACCAGTTGGACACGGTTGCCTTTTGCTGTCTTTGGCTTAGAAAAGTCTAGTTCACACACACCCTTCTCATGAATGCAGAAATCTCTGAGCACGTGGGCGGGGCAAAAGATGCCTGGAAAATCCATGGTGTCCTCCATAATTAGTAAACAAAGACGGCCATGACCAGTGTTGGTTTTGGGGACTTTGACTCTGATACTGCTTCCTGCGCTCTTTCTCTCACTGAGACTACTGCGTCTGCTCCTCACAGCAGTCTGTCTTCATTCTGCTGCGGCTGGGGGGGGCAGGGAACCTTCTCACTTCAGAGAGAGCCGCAGCATCATCAGTGTGCGTTCTCGATCACTGTCATTCAGGGGTGGAGGATGCATTGACTCCTAGATGGCTCCATGGCCTTCACCGGGTCACAGATCCAACCAGGCTAGGGGGGAGGGGAGGTTTCACAGTGTCTGTCCACATTCCCTCTGAATGATAATGCATCATGCATGCGGGAAGCCCCTGCTGGCTGATTATCACCAATTGGAGGCTCCCCCTAAAGGTCGGTGTGAATTTCTGCCGTCCAATCAGTCGGCAGATCAGCGAGGAGACGAAGATGGAACTGGATCGACCATGTGTTGAAGAAGAACCCGACAGATGACTGCGTTGTGGCCCCCTATTCAATTCAATTCAAGTTTATTTATAAAGCGCCAAATCACGACAAGAGTCGTCTCAAGGCACTTCACATATTTCTCTTTTCCATCGCCTGGTCTGGAACGGTCAGGTCTGGGTATTATGGACCGGTATGGGTCTAGAAGTTTTCTGGCAAGCGTTTCTATCGCATTCCAGGCTCCAGTTAGCAGGCGGGGTAGCGTAATGCGTCACGAGCGACGTGTGTCTTAACGTCACACAGCGCGACGAGAACGCGCCAAAACACAACAACAATGGAGTCCAGTCAGCAGCGCGTTCTTTCTGTTCTTGGTGTTCGGTATATTCTTTGCACCCACATCACGATAGCGTTTAGAGCTATGCTGCGCGCATACTCGCAGGCATTATCTCACAAGGAGTACAGCCAAACACAAACACTCGAACCCTGGGATTGTCGCGGGTAGTTACGTCATTTCTCCCCCAATCAGAGGACTCTAGACCTTTTACGCTGTGGCTCCGCCCAGACCAAAAATCTCTGGACCCACAACAGAAGGGGTCGCGCTCTGGCCCGGTCCGGGTAGGTTTTCTGGACCGGTTCAACAATCAGCGACCCGATCCTTCCCATTCCAACGCCAGTTTGGGCGGTGGAAAAGGCCCTTAAAGGCTTTCTGAGCCATTTCCTCTAGTTTACTGTCATCTCGTTGCCATGGAAACCACCACTTCCGGGCTCGGCAGCTGTGGCTGAATTGACCACGTGACCGTAGAGCTGCATAACTACAGACGCTCGAGTTGTAGTTAGGGTGCGAACGGCTTTATTAGACATCCTAGGGGAGGTGAGCCTTCTTCTGTCTGCTGCTAAAACCATTATGACCGACTGGCAGAGGTGTGACCAAGTCACTGCTTTGCAAGTCACAAGTGTTTCCAGTCAAGTCCAAGTCAAAGACAACCAAGTCCAAGTCGAGTCCAAAGTCAATGATGTGGAAGTCCAAGTCAAGTTTGAATTTTCAAGTCATAAACAAGTCATCTAACTTCAGTTTAATGACGATGATAATAAATTCCAGGAAAAGCTTCTTAAAGCTTCATTTATTTACTCAAAGTGCAGCTGATTATAAACAAAGTGCTAAAGCTAGGTTAGCTTTTACCTAATTATTTACTATAGTTTTTCTCGTTTTACATGATTATATTTTGTTACTGGTTTGGCATGTTTTAGATTATATTTTAGCAGTTTCATTATTTAACAATATTTACTGTCCATATGGTTTTACTATTTTCTTACTTTTGTCATTTATATTAGCTCTTTAATTTTCATATTTTTACTCAATTTAATCCTGTTTTCTCTGTAGGAGCCCTCTGCCCCAGGGGCGGTGGTGGACTGTTACTTCCTGGGCGCTCTACAGGTGGCGTTTAAGTGGAGGTGGGGGTCTATGCTCCCCCTCCTCTGAGCACCCTGACTTGGTTGCTGTGGAAGACCTGATGCTGCCGGGGCAGACGGCTCCTCTGATGGCGTTCCCTTGCCTTACCTTACTTGGCTCATCTGGACTCAGTCGAATATAAATTTTTACTGATGTGATTGTGTGTGTGTGCATGCGTGTGCATATGTCTGTTAATGTTTTCAAACTTATGGGAATTTGGGGTCATTTTAATCCTGTAAAGCACTTTGAGTTGCACTTTCCTTGAAAAGCGCTTTATAAATAAAATCTGATCGACTGAAGTGTTGCTGCATTCAGCAGAACAAGATAAAACCCGGAACGAAGAATGATTTATGATTTTTGTCCGTCACGCCACTTTTGTGCTAAAATATCAAATATGCTCAAGTCATCAAGTCAACAGATGCAAGTCGATTCAAGTTGCAAGTCATTGGCGTTCAAGTACGAGTCAAGTCGTAAGTCTTTATAGACTTTTTCCAAGTCAAGTCAGAAGTCACTAAAATAATGACTCAAGTCCAAGTCATGTGGCTCTAGTCCGCACCTCTGCCGACTGGTCTGACGGGTGTCAGCAGCCCAGCTCGGTGTTTAACATGAACACACCTGAAAGCGACAGAATCATTCTGACAGGTACTGAAACCGTGTGCCGACATCGCCTTCGGTCAGACTGATGTTGTGTAGAGGACTTCGTGAACATATTTCGTTTAGACCAAAGACGCAACAGAACTCCTGGTCTAAGCACCACCCTCATGGAGAAGTCAGAATACCAGCACACATCCCAGAGTTTCTACCACTTTATACAGGAAATGAACACATCATGTTAGATCTTTATACATACGTATCGCTGTTCCCGTTTTTATACTCCTAATATGTTTCCTGAAATATGTCAGAACTGTCTTTCCAGGGTTATCACAGCTTTGGCCTCATCACCATGTCCGGCACTGGTTCCCTTAACCCCTGATGACGTGTCCTAAGAGTCCTACATGTCACAACATCTGGGAACAAACTAGATAAAATGATGTTTTCATGCAACTTAACGTCTTTGTTTTCTTTGGCCAACTGAATGAGACGGTCTGACGTCTACAGAGCTCGGGTCTAAATACAAAAATCAGAGCTAAACTGAAATATGGTCAAATGATAAGATTAACCGATCAATAAATATAAAGCAAAACGTCAAATATGCTGCGGTCAAAGAAAAGCTTCTTTGCTTTTTGATAAAAAATAAAAATTCTTCCTCCTCTTATAATTCTGTCCCAGAAGGTGGAAGCGTTGCTTCGTCAGAGGCTTTAATCTCCTTTTCCCGCTGGCTCTGTGTCTGGATCAGAGTCAGAACTGGAACCTTCCTCCCCTCGTTCCTGAGCAGTCCCGACCTGGTGGACGGCCACCGCTCCTTTCCTCTGAGGCAGCACGGTGAAGAAGGCTTCCTGCCAGCTGCCCTTCTCCAAATACGCCAGGATGATCTCAAACACTGCAGGACAGAGCAGGAAGGGACGAGGAAAAGATCGATAAAGAAACCCCAACCACAGGTTAGAGACAGCCAACGACCCGGGGGGACAGTAGGTGTGTTTAACAGTAAAACTACTGAAAAGCTTCGGTAGAAATACAAACACAAGGTCAAACTCACCTATAGACTACATTTATTGCATGTTTTATTTTAATTCTACTGATAATCTAGGAACTGCACGTCTATAAATGAAAATCCTTAAAAGGACTCTAGAATGGACACAAATGTGATTAAAGACACTCGTTTCCAAACTCAGGTTGGGTCAAAATGCAGAAGTTGTGATGCTGGGAGGTTTGTTCTAGCATCACCCTCCAGGTGTTCTGACTGAACCTGTCTAAAGCTTGGTTTATGCTTGACCATGGACGTAATTTTGGGAGGGG